TTTTGAAATAAAAAAATAAAAATAAGCAAAAAAAATATCTAAAATTTTCGACGAAGTTTCCTATCCGATAGGGATTGACATTACCAAAAAGAATATCCAAAATTTTTTGACAAAATCTCCTATCCGATAGGGATCGACGTCACCAAAAATCATTGTTTAATCAAGACGTCCTCCAATACACCGATTGTATCAAAGCTTAAAGTAGATCCGATGTTTGAACCGACGTGTCTCCCGACAAAGGAGATCGACGATCGTTTCAATACGATGCCACATCTAAAACTAAAAACTTCAATTTTTCCTTAAAAAATAGGAGTTTAAAAATAAAAAAATAATTTGACATAAATAAAATATTTTAGGAGATGAATTTAGAACTAAACCATACATGGTACATTTTCAAAAAAGGCACTTTTGAGTGATTAATTATCTTCCTAAAGGTGCAACCAACTCCTTGTCATAGAATCTCCGAACCGATGCTTCTTTTAGGTTCATAGTTCCTTAATACTAGGTGGCCATTCTAAACTCCGTAAATTGAAATTTTAATTTTTTTTAGAGTCTCGTCCGACGTCGAGTAACGACGTAACGACGACTCTACCGAAGACTAGAGTTAAGCCATGGGTTTAGTTTTTTAATTTATCTCCTATATTTATTTTGTTGATTTATTTTTTTAATATTATTTATTTTTTGTATGTATTTAAATTTTTATAATTTATTTTTTACAATTTATGTTCTCGTTGTATGTTTATTTTTTGGCTTAGTTGCATATGTTTATTTGAACCGTTGCATACACCACGAAGGAAACCTATAAAGGCTCTAAACTCGAGCTAAACCCCGATAGGACTTAGATAGAGGGACATGGAGGTTATTATGATGAAAGTCTACCGATGCTCTTCCGGACTCTTGTTTGGACTGAAACTCACCCTATACATTGAAAATGGTGAAATCACCTTCCTCTACCTGCTAGTGTATAAGGCTAGAGGCTAGATACTCCACTCGGTAATTTAGGCGATCCGAAACTTGAAAAATCTTTAGGACTAGTCAAACTTTGCTCAACCATAGAAAAGGTAGATCTTGTCTATTAGGGTTGACCCAATTAAGACACGAATCATTATCAAATGATGTTAATGCCGACCTTTGGTTTTGCGGGTTATCCTTCATATTAAATCATGACGGAAGAAATAAAAAATGAGGTCGAGGATTTTTGAGTTAGATCCGAGTGGGTCCGAAATGATAAATGAGATTGTCCGTCCTCGAATTTCATGTCGAGACTACACAAAAAAAAAAGTTTCGCCCTTCGTGTGCTTATAAAAAGAGTAGTTTCATCATTTCAAATCAAGTCATGACTGAAATTATGGGCATACATATCTCCCTAATCACCCAAGTATTTGTGGGGTAATTTTACCCTCAACGAGTAATAACTTGGTCTAACTCCGTCCTCGACGAGATTCCGTCATGATTTAATGTGTAACAAAATAAAGAAAAGCATCTAACCTAGTTCAAAATTATGCATTTGCATCAAGTATTTATTTGTATTTATTTTTGCATTTTTTTTCTTTCAATGAATTAAACATAGGCCGCTCCGCTCAATCCCTTCCGCGCATCATAACATTTGACTTCGGACTTGTCAAATGGAAAATGAAGAAAGACCACGACAAGAGCCAATTAGTCAACAAGAGTTTGACTCATTGAAAGAGAGTATTGCTCGAATGACATCCCTCTTAGAACAAGCCTTAAGAGGGGGAGGTAGCTTGAATCAAGGACGAGAACGGCCGAAGTACCGCATGCTGTTCCATTGCCCAATCAATCGAGGCCTTCCAATCAAGGAACTTTTCATGCTCGAAGGCTCACATCCTATCTGGGGCATTTGCTTATCCCATGGACCCACGAGTCTCGCAAATGCCACCTATGTCCTCTATAGATCCTACGAAGAAGAAACTCACGATTATAGAGGCATTGAAAGTCCAAGTATAGACGGACTTATGGCATTAGAAGAACGCCTAAGAGCAATAGAGGGAGAGGATGCCTATGATTCAATTAGGGTCTACGAAATGTGTTTGATGCCCGATGTGATAATCCCGAAGAAGTTTAAAGTACCAAAGTTTGTTAAATATACTCGAAACCCGAGTGTCTTATGACCCACTCGAGGGTATATTGTACCAAGATGATAAAAGTTATTCAAAATGAAAAGCTACTCATAAATTTCTTTCATGAGAGCTTGGTCGGATCGACATTGAATTGGTATATGAGGTTGGAGGGGTCCAAGATCGGAGGATGAAAAAATCTAACTAATGCTTTTTCATGTAATACAAGTTTAATACGTAAGTGGCTTTGAATTGTTCGGATCTCTATGGTATGGAGAAAAGGGCTAAAAAGACTATTAAAAAGTATACGTAAAGGTGGCACGAGGTAGCGACTCGAATCCATAGGATAAGCTGAATTATATTCGTGCAAGCATTGGGATAGAACTCCCTGTCCCCACATTTATGCCTATAAAATAATTAAAAAAAGGACGTAGTTTATTAAAAACTCCAAGTCTATTAGATTAGGTAAAAACCAAAAACATAAGTGCTCAAAATAACAGTAATTTTTTTTAAATAAATTTAAACTCAAGATTTTTTGAAAGGGCGGCTGTAATGTCAATTGAGTTACGGCAGCACGCATGACAATAATTAAGTTAATTATTTGTTTATAACAAAAGAGTAATAGATATGATTATATTGATTTTTTTATAATAACATGAAGGTACTACTTTTTTAGTGATCATCAAATTCCTAAAAAATGTTGCAAGAAATTAGATCGACTGATTTTTTGGCAAGAAATAAAAGTTAATTAAAATTGTGCTCTTGTAATTAGGAAAATCACGACCATTGAAGTTATTTTTTTCGTAACAAAAAATTGAAGTGATTTTATAACTTTAAGATACAGAAGCAAGCACCCTTGATCAACAAAACGATATTAGAGTAGAATATTTACAAACAACTGACAATCATAGTGGGCAATTAGGATGATTTAATAAAATATTAATGTAAGTAATTAAGGTTTTACCCATTATTTAATTCCTGTATTCTTCTAAAAAAATTTTATTGGAGCCTCCTACATTTTTTTCCTTATTGAATAATTTTTTTTTTAACTTTTTTAAATAAATGGGTCCCTTGTATATATACGACATCAGTTCGTATGCTTACATGATGTTTTTCTGTCAGAAGCGAAAACTCAGCAACTCACAATCTAATAACTCTTTTATTTTTAAAATTTTCTAGTTTTAGGTGAAATTTAAACGATTAAAATAAATTCAATTAACCAAAAAAATCTAAACGAACTTAATTAATTAAATTAAATTAAATCTACATGCGTTTCTTTTTTTATTTCTTTAATTACACAATTTCTGATGTAGAAGAATTATTCTAATAGAAAGGTATCATGTAAGTGTAGAATTGACAACTTTATGATAAAATGATATTTACATAACAAGAATAAATAGACCCAATCTGTAATACCCTCCACCTAAGACCTAATAGGTTGAGAATGTTATTGTCGTTAACCTACATTCAAAGTCCAATGAATATAAGTTTACAATACATTGTGACTTATTCATAATACTCCTAGGTATAAATTACATTGCGGAAGTCTAATATATGATGATTAGGTCCTACATTTTGATTCAAAATGTAATATAATTTTTTCACGTTTTATTATTTTATTTGACTTCTTTGAACTAAAATAATTGAATTTGTGACTTTCGGTTTTCTCGGATTTTTTTTCTTTTAAATTATATAAATTTATTTAATTATAATCCATTACTTTATAATTACTTGATTATTTCTTTATTATTTACTTGATTATTATATCCTAGGTATAATTACTTGATATAATTAAACAGAAAATAATTAAAATAAATGTAATTAACAAAAAAAAAAATCAAGTAATTTCCCTTACAGAATTGCAGTAAAAGAGAGGGCTGGATCACATCTCTTCTATGGTAGTAGCAGTTTTTATTGGTACCCCATTTCGTGTGAAGATATTTGTTTCTGTTTAGAGGCATTCCTAACGCAATATTTCTGATCAAGCAACTCTGATTTTTTTAATTTGATGAGGCCCTTTCAGCCCGACTTGTCAATCGTCATAGTATTGCATATAAACTAGCCAGTGTCTTGCAGCAGCGCGGATGGTCCGGTCTTTTAAATCCCTAGTTTTGTTTGCTATGTTATCTATGGGTTAGTATCAAAATGAAGCAGCTTATAATTGCACGGAAAAAAAATGGACTAGCAAATGATGACAACAATTAAGTTAATTATTTGTTTATAACACAAGAGCAATAGATATGATTTTATTGATTTTTTTTTTTTTTTTATAATAACATGGAGTTACTACCTTTTTAGTAATCAACAAATTCCTAAAAATGTTGTAAAAAATTAGATCCACTGATCTTTTTGGCAAGAAATAAAAGTTAATTAAAATTGTGCTCTTGTAATTAGGAAAATCATAACTATTAAATTCGCTCTTTTTTTCATAACAAAAAATTGAAGTGATTTTATAACTTCAAGATACAGAAGCAAGCACCCTTGATCAACAAAAGGATATTAGAGTAGCATATTTACATACAACTGACAATCATATTGGACAATTAAGATGATTTAATAAAATATTAATGTAAATAATGAAGGTTTTACCCATTATTTAATTCTTGTATTCTTCTAAATTTTTTTATTGGAGCCTCCTACATTTTTTTCCTTATTGATTTATTTTATTTACTTTTTTTTTTTTAATAAACGGGTCCCTTTATGCAATTAATCCATTCAACTTTGTTCATAACAATACGTTTGACAGTTTTACAAAGCAATCCCAAACATTATTTATTTTACACCACTCACCCTATCCAACTTCGAAGCCTTGGAGCTATTCTTAATGAGCAAATGGTAATGGGGATGTTGTTTAGTTTAAACCATCAAACCATACATAGGGAAACTTTATTACAACTGATTAAACAGCTTGGAAAGAGAAACTTAAGCTTCCATCAACGAGAAAGAAGCTATTGACTTGGCAAGCTGAATTACATTCGTGCAAGTATTGGGATAGAACTCTCTGTCCCCACATTTACGGCTGTAAAATAATGACAATATATATATATATATTAGGTACTAATTAAAACCCTCAAGGCCATTAGATTAGGTAAAAAAACAAAGAAATAAGTGCTCAAAATAACAATAAGTTCCTTCAAGAAATTTAAATTCAAGACTTTTTGAAAGGATGGCAGTAATGTCAATTAAGTTATGGCAACATGGCAATAATTAAGTTAATTATTTGTTTATAACATAAGAGTAATAGATATGATTTTATTTATTTATTTATTTATTTTACAATAACATGAACTTATTACTTTTTCAGTGATCATCAAATTCCTAAAAAAATGTAGTAAAAAATTAGAACGACTGATTTTTTTGGAAAGAAATAAGAGTTAATTAAATCTGTGCTGTTGTAATTAGGAAAATATTAAATTTACTCATTTTTCTCGTAACAAAATTGAAGTGATTTTATAACTTCAAGATACAAAAACAAGCACCCTTGATTTGATCAGCAAAAACAATGATAGAGTTTACAAACAACTAACAACCATACTACGCAATTAAGATGATTTAATAAAATATTAGTGGAAGTAATTAAGGTTTTACCTATTATTTAATTCTTGTATTCTTCTAAAACAATTTTATTGGAGCCTCCTAATTTTTTTTCCTAATTGACTAAGATTTTTTTTACTTTTTTTCCAATTTAAACAGGTCCCTTTATATATATGACGTTAATTCGTACACTGATGTGATGTTTTTTTTGTGAGAAATGAATACTCAACAACTCACAATCCAATAACTCCTTTATTTTTATTTTTTTTTGGTGAAATTTAAACGATTAAAATAAAGTGAATTAACCAAAAAAAAAATCTAAACGAACTTAATTAATTAAATTAAATTTACATGTGTTTACTTTTTAATTCTTTAATTACACAATTTCCAATGTAGTGGAGTTATTGTAATAGAAAGGTGTTATGTCAGTCAGTTAGTGTGCTCACGAACTTTATGATAAAAGGTTCTTTACATAGCATAACAAAATAAAGAATAAAGAGACTCAGTTAATAAAAAAAATATAAAAAAAATTTCACATAAATAAATAAAATAAAGATTGCATGTACAAAATCTGGATAAAAGCCAATCATTACCTATGCATATATAATTATATATAGCTGGAACTGTGACTTACATGAAGGGAACATAGGCTTTCCTGCGCACATTTGCCTTCCTGTTGGGCACTGTGTTAGAGCCGTGGCTCTCTTATTGACACACACGAAGATCTGAGTGACCACCAATTTGCCTTTGAGCCTGCGGCACTGGATTTGAACAACATTGCTCTCATCTCCTAAACCCTTCTTGATTGCGTCGGTAATGACACTTACATCATAGGCAACATCTACTTTTATACCTGCAAGCATTTTATGCACACTTCAAAAATGAAAATTATTCAAAGTGAAGCAAACATGCATCATGTATATTCTCTCCGTTTTTAATTATGGAAAACAAGTGTAGTTTTCGGCTGCGAGTGCTGAGTGTGTTTAGAATTAGGATTGAGATTGAGAGTTCTTCACTATTCCGATAATGAAGTTTAATCCTTCTCTTTGCCTTTGAATATAGACATAGCCGAACAACACATAAACTGTGATAGAGTATGTATGATGGTTTCTTTTTCGTTTGCTGTGATTAATGTATTGTGTGATCCTAACATATTCCATATTTACTTAGAGACAAACCTTCTCTAGTTAGATACGCCCAGATATTGTAACGTTGTGCCAGGGAAAAGGCTGTCTGAAAGTAATTAGCCAGCGCTTCCTTAGGATAGCCGCTGTCATCGAAGCAACACCCATGCTTCTCCCACTCCAATTTCCAAAATTCGTAATATCTATCATCATAGAGTGATGGCCATAAATTTACCAATTGTTCAAAGAGGGCGCGTGGGAGCTGTAAAAAACAAATAAAATAATTATATGCTTTTAGTTTCTCATTGTTTTTGTTAAAAATGAAATCAGAAATTGCAATTAGTAAAAGAAGTATTTTTAGCAAGATACCAATATAAATATACTTGCTATAGGACCGGCAGCAATAATAATTCTGATCTTCAGATTTATTATTATTATTATTATTATTTATTTATTGAATAAGCCGATGCATGAAAACAGCCGCCAAAGTGGCAGGAAGCACCTGGGGAGAGAAGGCCAAAACCTAAAAACTAATTCAAAGACGGAGAGGCCAATAGCAGGACAGGAACATCAGTAAAGGAGAAACGACATCATCCAAGACCTGAACTTCCCAGGCAGCAGAGCTTCAGCATTTTTTATTAGAGACACCAAAATGATTGTATCTTTTCAGCAACAAAAGAAGCATATATGTAGCAGTACCTTTCTGGCCTCAAAGGAGTGGCAGGGCCTGCATGAAACAACTGCCTTTCCCGCAGATTTAACAGGCCAGAGCCCATGAATGCCAAAAGCTTGTTTCGCTCGACCCGGCCTGCACGTCCTATCCGTCATACAAGCAGAAATCATCCACTAAAAGAAAAGAAAAACGTAAGATTTTGCTTTAAATACCGTAAGTTATGGGAATAAAAGATCCAATATCAATAGAGATGGTCTTTATTAGAAGGGTATACCTGTAGAACGAAGTCACAGTATTGATAATTTGGTCTGTTAACCTGGTGCTTTTTTTTTTAATTGAAAATAAAAAGAGAGAGAGAGATAATGTATTTTAGCAAGTTCAAAAATTTAGGAGGAGCACAAGCAATTAGCGTGTAATTTAATTAAATGAATATTGTTGTACCTGTGCCATAGATTCAGAGATATTATAGTCTCCAAATGCACTTGCAGTTGGAATAGGATGGAGCACTGTGAAGAGAAATAAAAGTGCTAACCATTTGCCTTCCATCTCTTCTCTTTTCCTCTTGCAAATATACACAAGCAGTTGGTTCCTATATATAGGCAGTGTGTTTGAGGGAGAAATCGAAATAAAATTAAACGCGTGTAAATCCTTAGGGTTATTTGTATATCAGAATGAGAAGTCTCCGACGAAAAAAAAATTCAAATAATTTGTGTACCAAAAAAACATCTCAATCCAATCCCTTAAAGGTTTTCAAGCCCATTATGTTATACTTAATTATCTAATTTTAATTAGAAAAGAAAATAAGATTGGTTTCAAGCAATGAAAGCCCTGCATCCTCATTAATTAATTTCTATTTCGGCATCAAAATACGGAGGAAATGCTGAATATCTAGACAGCGATAAGCTAAGCATGTGTAGCAAGGAAAGGCAAAGCTATAGAGATTGCCACCATGCTAGACAAGAACAAAAGAACTGAGGATCTAGACAACGATAAGCTAAGAACGTGTAGCAAGGAAACGCAAAGCTATAGAGATTGCCACCTTGCTATACCTGACAAGAACAAAAGAACTGAGGATCTAGACAGGGATAAGCTAAGAACGTGTAGCATGGAAAGGCAAAGCTATAAAGACGTGTAGCATGGAAAGGCAAAGCCATAGAGACGTGTAGGCGATGTTGGAAAAATTGAAAAATGAACTTGAAAGGAACAGAAATATGTAGTGTTTAATTGCGTGTAGAAAATACCCTATACTTGTCCTTAAGGTGATTATTGCCCCTACTATAATACTGCAGGGATTTTAGCAATTCACCTTTAGGATACAATTTTGCACACAAGGAACTGCAGCGAGCACTCTCGAAATTCCTTCAAGAGAATATCTCTTAAAGTTGTAGAGTCTTAGAAGGAAAGAATTTTGAGAGGAGAGGAGTATTGCGAGAGATTGTAATTGATTTCGTCCTGTGTAGTAGTCCCCTATTTATAGACCACCGATACCTTTTCATAACAAACATGACTATTGATTCTAATAGTCATAATACAACAGATCACAATCGTTGTATTCTAACAAACATAACTATTAGACCTTAACAAACATAACTCGTTAGATCCTAACGTACATAACCGTTAGATCCTAACGGACATAATGTTTGAAAGTTCGTTAATAACTAGCTAGCTGCAAGAAAAAAACGTAATTAATTAAATAATTACGAATTTAATTACATTAAGAAATAAAAATAAATTTCTTAATCACACACGCGCACGTGCAAAGTGTTAAGTGCTAGTCTTTGATTATTTAAATATATATAATTCCAACCAATTATCCTAGTTTTCCCTTCAATTCCTCCAATCAAATATTTGAAAGTTTTGCTAGAGGCTCACTTTATAAGTTCGCCTCTTATTTTCATTCCTTTCTAATGTGGGATAAAATCCCACTTGAAAACACTTTCGAATTTCCTTCATAGTATGCTTAACTTATTATCTAACATTCCTAAGATCTCTAACAATCCCCCATTTAGATAATAATGTTAAGTCCTTATAGTATCATGCATAAAGAAAGATGTCTTTCGACTTGAATCTCCTTTTAGTGTAAATATCTCAAAGTCTTAATGGAATAAATGGTATCTTAGGCGATTGAACCAAAATCCCTTGTATTAAAACTGAAAATACCACACACGTGATCTAATCCAACTTCTTTTAGAGATTCTCAAATTATCTTTTAGCAACTTATATGGCCATGTGCTACATCCTAGATTTTCATAAACATTTCCAAAAGTCGACCCTTGAGCTTTTGCCAAAAGCAGCACCACTCCTTATGTTTATATAGGTGAAATTCCTATTAAGTTCGAATATATTGGTCATATTCTATAACTTAATCCCCATTAAGAGTTTATAACTCATCCTCCAAACTTAGTAGTACTAGTTAACTTGGAATGGTAACATAAGTGAAATATCCTAGTACTTCCACGACCACTTATCGGTAACTTGTTTTTTACCCATTAAACTTTTAACCGGTGTTAATACTAGAGAAAAGTTGGGTTTTTATTACTCGGTGACTCTAAGATAAGGGTCTTAAACCCATTCCAATTGAAGTTTTCCTTACTAAATCTTTAGTAAGCCCTTTTATAAACGGATCCGCCAAGTTGTTACTTGTTCTTACATATAAGATTATGATAATTCCTTCAAGAATTAATTGTTTGACATATTTATGTCTCAAGCTTATATGTCTAGATTTTCCATTGTATATCTTGCTAAAGCCCTAGACATAGTAGCTTCACTATCACGAGTGTAAAGAAATGGCTTGCATCGGTTGTGGCCACAACTCTATTTCTAACAATAAATTCCTTAGCCATTCTGCTTCTTTTCTACGGTGCACGATGCAACAAACTCGCATTCCATAGTGGAATGAGTTATACACGTCCGTTTCTTAGAAGCCCATGAAATAGCTCATCCACCAAGAGTGAATATCCAACCGGACGTAGACTTTTTATCTCTAGCACTTGTTATCCAACTAACATCGGTTATCCCTCTAACATTAATGGATAACCCTCATAAGACAGATCCTAAACTCAAAGTTCTTTTGAGATAACCAAGGACTCTAGAAATTGCTTTCCAATGATCAACACCAGTGTCTACTAGTGTATCTTGAAAGCTTACAAATTGTAAAGGAAATGTCCGGCCTAGTGCAATACATTGCATACATTAAGCTACCAATTACACTAGCATACTCGATTTGAGCAATTACTCTTCCGAATTTTCCATTAACTTATGTGAATTTTCATATGGGGTGCTTACTTCTTTAATTCTCAAATGTTGATTCTTATTTATAATTGTCTCAACATAATGGGATTGACACAAAGCATAACCCCCACTAATTTTCTTTACTTTGATTCCCAAGATAGTATCTACCTCTTCTAGATCTTTCATACTAAACTCGTGAGGATAAGTACTTCTTTGTTTCATTCACACCATCAATATTTATCCCAAATATAAGCATATCATCCACATATAAGCATACGATAACACCATATTCTTTTGTAAATTTAGAATAAATACACTTATCCGCATTATTATGCTTAAATCCATAAGACAATATAACGTAATCAAATTTTTCATGCCATTGTTTTGGTGCTTGTTTCAAACCATATAATGATTTAACTAGTTTGTATAGTTTCTTTTCATTTCCAGGTAATACAAACCCTTCGAGGTTGTTCCATATATACTTCTTCATCCAAGTCACCATTCAAGAAGGTCGTCTTAACATCCATTTGATGCACAATCGAGTTATGAATGGAAGCTTAGAGCAAATAGTACTCTAATGGATGTTATCCTAGCCACCGGTGCATATGTGTCAAAATAATCAATACCTTCCTTTTGCCTAAATCCTTTGGCTACTAATCTAGCCTTAAAAGTTTATATTGATCCATCGATATTATACTTTTTACGAAATACCCATTTACACCCTATAGGTTTTGAACCGGGAGGTAAATCCACTAACACCCAAGTATTATTGGATAATATTGAGTCAATTTCATCATTAATTGCCTCCTTCCAGAATGCTACATCTCTTGATATCATAGCTTCTTTATAGGTTTTAGGATCTTCTTCTATATTTAATAAAATAGGTATTTTATTAAGTATAGATTTTCTATCACCTTCAACTAGGAAGACAATAGACTGTGGATCAATAAAATCTGAATCTAAGTTCTTTTCTTTTCTAGTCCTTTGACTTCTCTTAGGTTCACGAGGAGTATCATTAGTTTTTCTCTTACCACTAGATAGTGAACTTGGATCGGTTTGTTTATCTCGTTTGTGTAGTAGCATTAGAATCATTGGTAAATTTATGTTCAATAAATTCGACATCCCTAGATTCTACTATCACATTACTTTCTAAATCCAATAACCTATATGCCTTGGAATGTTGAGCATATCCTACAAACACACTTCTTAGAGCTCTTGGTCCTAGCTTGGTTCGTTTGGGATCCGTGACTCTATAGAAGGCTAGAACAACCCCAAACTCTAAAATAATTTAGATTTGGTTTTCTTCCTTTCCATAATTCATATGGAGAGACTTTAAATTTCTTAGAAGGTACTCTATTATGCACATGACACGCGAGTTAACAATGCTTCACCCCATAAATTATTAGGTAAGTTAGCATTCAAAATCATAGCATTCACCATATCAACTACTGTTCTATTCTTTCTTTCAGCTAAACCATTTTGTTGTGGGGTATAGGGTGCACTCATTTCGTGTATAATTCCATTAGCCTCACAAAAGGAAGAAAATTCGAGTAGAAAAATATTCACCACCCCTATCACTTCTTAAAACTTTAATCTTCTTTTCTCTTTGATTTTCAACTTCGGATTTATAACACATAAACATGTCAAAAGCTTGATTTTTAGTTTTCATTAAGTACACATAAGTGTATCTAGAATGATCATCAATGAAAGTAATAAAATACCTATTTCCTCCTCTAGTTAAAATTCCATTTAATTCACATATATCGGAATGAACAAGTTCTAATAGTTCGGAAGATCTTTGAACTGAAGGAAAAGGTTTCTTTGTCATCTTTGATTGTATACAAATTTCACACTTTCCATTACTAGTATCATTGCAAGAGATTAAACCATGTTTTGACATAAATTTAATAAAACCGAAATTAACATGTGCTAATCTACCATGCCATAAATGAAAAGAAGAGGAGTCAACAATATAAGCGAAAACATTCATCTTATTCATAATACCGAGTTTGAACATGCCATCACAAGAGTACCCTTTGCCTATAAAAGCACCATTCTTAGAGAATACAACTTTGTCGGACTCTATCACAACCTTAATCCCCTTCTTACATAACAGATTAGTAGATACAAGATTCTTTCTAATTTCACGAACATACGGAACATTGACCAGCATTAACTTCTTTCCGAAGTAAACGATATTTCAACGAGTGCCCTTGCCAAGAACCTTTACGGTGTCCTTATTTCCCATCATCACTTCGTAACCTTCAATGGCTTTCTCAAAGGTCTTGAATTGAGCTTTGTCATTGCACACATGG